GCAAAGACTATGGCTTGGATCAGGCACACCTTGGTCTCTAGTCTGGCACTTTTGCTCTTTAGCACTCTGAAGAGGTCCCTGACAGCAGATTTTCCCAATACAATTACTTTTTTAAATTATTATTATTATTATTATTATTGTTGTTATTATTATTGTTATTACTATTATTATTTCCTGACTGATGATGCCAAAGGTATTGATTGTGGAACCAAGTAAGCGGAAACTGTCAATATTCTCAGTCTCTTCTCCATCTATCATGGTGCTGCAAATTCTACTTAGAGTACTTAATGAGTGCAATATTGTACCTCTTAGTCACTTGCTGTTGTTACATGCCATGGAGTCAGAATTGACTCAGAGCTGACCCTCCAGTGGGTTTTCAGAGGCTGTAAATTGTACGGGGAAAGACAGCCTATCTTTCTCCATTCAAACCATCTGTGTTTGGGTTGGCAGCACAGTCCCTGAGCCAGCAGGTTCCCAGAGTGGCCTAAATAGTCACTAAAATAGTCACAAAGCTTGATTTTCCAGGTATACGATCACATAAATTACCCAGCACTATATGGTCTATCATCAAAGATAGCATCCATGAAAAAAGAAAAAGGTTATTACAAAGACAGAGGAGAAAGAGAAGACCAAAATGAATGTCAAAAGAGACTCTGAAAATGACACTGGAACTTTAAGAATTCAAAACAAATGAGAAAAATGGCAAAGTAGAAGAGATGAACAGAACATTTCTAAGGTCAGCTTGAGAAAACAAAGTATTACAAAGGAATTTGCAAAGAGTTGGGGTTGAAGAACTTACTTGACATTACTTAAGTTGAAAGAACTGAAAAACAAATTCAAGCCTCAAGTTACAATACTGAGAGATACTATGGGCAAAATCTTAAATGATCAAAGAACTATCAAAAGAGGATGAAAGGAATACACAGTGTCACCGTACCAAAAATAATTGGTTGACACTGAAAAATTTCAGGCAGTATTATATGAACAAGAACCAGTGACAATGAAGGAAGGAGTCCAAGATGCACTGAAGGCCTTGACAAAAAACAAAGTCCTAAAAATCAGAGGGCAGATGCAGCCCTGGACATATTCACCAGTCTATGTTAGGAAGTTTGGAGGATAGCTGCTTGATTGACTGACTAGAGGAGATTCATATTTGTTCCCATTCCTAGAAAGGTGATTCATCAGAATATGAAAATGATCAAACAATACCATTAGTATCACATGCAAGCAAAATATTGCTGAAGATCATCCAAAACTGGCTAAAGCAGTACAATGAAAAAGAACTGCCTGAAGTTCAAGCTGGGTTTACAAAGAGGTCATGGCACCAGGGATATCATCACTAGTGTCAATTAGATGTTGTTGTTGTTGTTATGTGCCGTCGAGTCGCTTGCGACTCATAGTGACCCCATGTACAACAGCCCTAAGCCCTGCTCTATCCTGTGCCAATCTCACTGCCTCTGACACACCCATCCCGATTATCCCAGTCACTGAATCAATTCACCTCATGGAGGGCCTCCTGCACTGTCCCTCCACCCTCCCAAGCATGATGTCCCTCTCCAAGGACCTATCTCTCCTTACAACATGTCCAAAGTATGTCAGACGAAGTCCCAGAATCCTTGCCTCCAAGGAGTAGCCTAGTTTAACCCTCTCCAGGATGAATCTGTTTGTTTTCTTGGCAGTCCAGGGTACATTCAATACACTTCTCCAGCACCACAGCTCAAAGGCATCAATTCTCCTTCTATCCTCCTTAGTCATTGTCCAACTCTCTGATGCATAACAAGTGATTG